TCGACGTGAAAGAAGGACAAACAAACAAACAAACACACTTTCACATCTATAATATTAGTATGGATATATAACTGCCTCGGTGGTGTAGTGGCTATCATGTACGGCTGCACACCCGGAGGTCCTGGGTTCGAGTCCCGGGTCGGGCCAAGTTTAGTAATTGAGTCTTTCTGTATAGTAAGCCTCAGTAATAGTCCGGAGTTAGGAAGTTGGCGGTGTTTCACCCCCGTGCCTCGGAGAGCATGTAAAGCCGTCGGTCCTGCGCCTTAACTCCCACCGGTCGTGTTGATTAGTCGTCCCACCGGAGTATGAGAGTGACAGGAAGAGAGAGTGCACTTATGTCTACGCGTACACTTCTGCACTATAATATCTCCTGCGCAGTTAGCTAGTCTCAATGAGATTGGCCGCCGTGGCCGAAACCGGCCAGGAGAACATCATCATCATTAGTATGGATATTACTTATTAGTATGGATGGAATGTAATACTTTAAGATTGTTTTTTAATTACTTCTACAATGATTTTCGCTTCGATGTACCATTTTATTTCAAAAGTCATTAGTAATATACTGATGACCAGTAAGGACTGCATTCTTCTGTTTGTCAACTGATTTTCTTTTTTTTTATTTAGTTGCTATTGACGAGCTTTAGGTAATGTTATCGATCGTTTTTTTATAATTCACTAGCATTGCCCGCGGCTCCGCCCGCGTTCAGATGACCAAAAACTAAATTCTTAGGTGTTACATATTAGTATACTCTTACATTGCAGTTTTTGTATTTTTCCTCAGAAATAAGATATTTTCCCGCGGTAAAAAGTATCCTAGGATCGCGCGCTACATCGCCCGGTTTATATAGCTTGAGCAGGCGGTCGAGCGATGCGGGGCAGAGGGGATGGACTCGCCGTAGGCATCTCAATGCTCGCCAAGCATTAAAAATGTTTCGCTACTAATTACTTCTAACAACGATATCTCAAAAACTATTCATCTGATTGATTTAGTGTAAAGAGCAATTTTAATCTGCATTAAATGACTAAGCTAACTAAAATATTCATTTGGATAAGGATTAATACCGAACTAAAGAAAATAACTTTGAAAATAACGTAATGTTTTTAATTAAAAATGTTAACATAAAAGTGGTTATTGTAAGTCAACCGTAAGAGATAGAGATATGCTATCGCGGACTTTTTTGTAGCATTTTTATAGATTTTGAATTCTCTAGTACATTACTTAACTGTATCTTTGCTAGTTTACGCGGCGTTCGCGTGGAAAGTTCCCATTTGGCGAGATTTTTTGCGACCTCTTCAACATTTGTCGCCGTATTTCAGCTAATTTACATAAAAGCATAATAAATTATATACCTAAACCTTCCTCAAGAATTACTCATTCTATTGTTGAAAACCGTATAAAAATCCGTTCAGTAGTTTTCGAGTTTATCGCGTACAGACAGACAGGAGGACAGACAGGAGGACAGACAGGAGGACAGAAAGACGCGGCCGGGGGACTTATTTTTATAATAAGTATAGATATGTTTTCCTTATATTTTCAACAATGGTTATGGTAGTATTTCTATATTCTGTGAAAGATCAGAAATAAAAACATCAAGCATAGTTTTATTCACTTAAATAATTTTACCAGGCCAAGGCTCACTCTAGGCTGTAGTCATGATGGTCATGGTTTTATTCAAGCACTAAATAGAACATAGATACCTATTTATCCAGAAAAACTTAAATTTCACGACACGAAGTGTGTTCTACTTTAGTAGTATTTAGAATATAAAGCTGTCAGTGTGACATATAGGTGCTTTCTTATTAGCTAAATGGAACACCCCAAGCCATAAATCAGGTAATCACCTCCATCGATACGATGCCGGGTAAACACGAAAACGCAATCATTTTAAGATGAGTAAACATTTTTATTAAATATTTTATAGTCTTATAAAAAATACTTTTCGAGATATCACCACCAAGACCGCGACCGTGACCACGACCAAGACCATGGTCGCAATGACCATATGTGTGATGTTCATTATTCGGTCGCGTATTATAGTACTGTAAAAAATATGTCAGGACATTAACACACAACACCATCTAGTTCCATGATGATGGTAAGCTACGAGGCTTGTGTTATAGATACCAGATAGTTGATACATTATACATATATAACTTTAAATACATACATATAAATATAAATGGCACCCATAACTGGAGTACAAACATTCGTGTTCACCACACAAATGAATGCCCCTAGCGGGACTCGAACCCGCGACCGCTGGCGCAGCAAGTACTACAAACTGAGCCAAACGTGTCGTCGAACTACTGTAACAAGTACTGTAATGTAAAACAATATAAATACATACATAGTTGGTCGCTGATGACGATGGTGTCGGTCGTGGTTGCCTAAAAAGCGAGCGGTTACAAACAATTTGGACTAATTTAAAACCTCGCGTTATCCAATTTTGACATAATTATTCATTAAAAATGATAAGTATGCTAGAAGTGAAGTCAAGTAGTGAAGTGCTATACCAAAACACAGATTTTGAGATTATATTAAAGTAGTCGTTGGGATAGGCAAATAATAGAACAATTTTACACGGCCATTTTTAAATTACTCGCGTCGTGGCTCCTTGAATACCGAATACGTGATCGTGTATGTATATATCACTTAAACTGTAACCACCTTTTACTCATATGACTCTAGCAGCAAAACACAAAACTGATAAAAGCTTAAGATAATTTTTAGGCACCCTTGTAATTCGTGACGCAAACTCCGTTCTTAACTGATGTCTCCTGTCTTTAAACTTCGAAATTTCGACATTCTGCTTTTAAATGATTTAGGTACAATATACCTAATATTGTAGGTACCTAATATTGTAGGTACCTAAATCATAAATATAAGGTCAAAACAATCCGAAGGGAATTGAACGTCAACTTGCAATACAAATAAGTAGTCGGGCCAGTGAATTCGCTAGTAAAATCTCATTTTAAAACTTATTTTGATTGTATGAGACATTTATATATAAAAAAATAAAAAATGTTACCTCCTTCGTTAATAGATTTTAGAAATAAAATTATGTTAATTGATATTTGGCCTTATAATTTCTATACAGTACAGATAAATAAAAGTGTCTGTTTGTATATATGTCAAAATAAGAGCTTCTTACTAAATGCATAGAGACAAAAAACATTTTTTAAACTATTTATCTGTCTGTTTGTTCTGGCTAATCTCCGAAACGACTAGAACGATTTTGACGGGACTTTCACTGGCAGATAGCTGATGTTATAAGGAGTAACTTAGGCTACTTTTATTTTCGAAAAAGAATCAGGGTTTCGCGCAAAAAAATTAAAACCCATGAAATTGTGAAAAAAACAAAGCGAGAGTAAATCGCTAGTATCTTATAAGTATAAATACTAATTGTACACAAAATTTTGTTCATAAATGTATTTTACTTACAATCAAGGGCTTTTGGAAGAAGCCGCTTGAAAAAGATGTCTTTATTCTGATTTGTATATCCATACTTTAATATTATCAATGTGAAAGTGTGTTTGTTTGTTTGTCTCTCTTTCACGTCGAAACGGAATACAGATTGGTGTTTTTTGTGTGGAGATAGTTGGAGGGCTGGAGAGTAACATAGGCTACTTTTTATCGCCGGAGATTATCTCACTCTCACGATAAAACACGTTATAATACTATCAAATAATATTTATTATCAAAATTACTGTACTCTACTGAAACTTGGTAGATATTAGGTAATGCTCTTCAACACAATTAAACAAATACGTGTTTAAGCATTTATCGAAATTCATCCCATAAGGGGGTAAAATAGGGGATAAAAGTTTATATGGAAGCTACCTTTTTAGAATCGTTTTTGTAGTGTTAGCGCGAGGGAAGCCGCGGGTTCTGGTAGTAGCATATAAATTAGCTAATTAATTAATTGGATTATTTGATAAAATCATAAGCTACGTCGCTACTCGCTACGTGCTACGAGTACGTGGAGTACAGAGAGAGTACATACTGCATAATCCCTTCGTAGCATTGCAACAAGTGTTTTATATCTTTTATTCGTAGAACTAGATTTTACTAATGCGAATGCTAACATTTCATACCAAATGACTAAGAATTAGTAATCACTTTTTGAGTTCCTATCTATACGCGTATACTGATATAGTTTTGATAATATAGTCGATAAAGATTGACACATTGATTCCTTTTAATTTCAAGAGTTTTTATTGTTATTGTTAACACTGAAAATGACACTTATTGTGTTTAATTAGCCCTAAGAATAAACCTTTATTTAGAATAAAGAAGTTTATATTAAAAATCTCCTTTTTTTAAATTTAAATAAGTTTTAAAAATTATCAATCTCTGGTACAAATTGGGGCCTGCTGGTCAAAGTAGGGTACATACCAATTACTGAAATACTATGTTAAATAGTAAAAAAAACAAAAAGAATTAAGTGTTTTGGTTTTTTATAATTAGATAACGTATAATATAAAAAATAAACTAATAACAAATATCGTAAAATAACGACATTTCAAAGTCATTTTTTTTCCTTAATTGGTTAAAAACCGGTACATTCACTCTACTGCCGGAAAAAATCAAATTTATTTATATGTTTTCATTTATATTTACATTACTTTTAAGCCTTATGGTCTGGTCAAATTAGACATAAAAATAGTGATCAAATAACAAAAACTATGACATAGCTGAATTTTGGTAGAGACCTTGGGTACACCGGGAGAAACAAAGTGTCAAAAGTCCTAATCGATCCATGTGTGCTACACATTTGACACTATTTCGCCTGGTGTACCCAACCAAGGTCTCTACCAAAATTCAACTCTGTCAGAGTTTTTGTTATTTGAAATGTCTATTTTGTCCGGACTATTAATGTAGAGTACACAATACGGTCTTGGGAAGACTCTTAAATAATTTATAATCTTAAATCATTTTGGATGATTTCCAAAATATCAATCATTTGATTACAGTTAAACTACTAACTACAAATGAACTATACCTCTAACTCTTCTAAAAATGCAATTTCTTCTGAATCCCATTCAGCTTCCTCTTTGGTAATAATCCTTCCGTTTTCACTCACACTTCCGGTCAAGTTATTATTCTTTTCAACTTTTAAATCACTTAACATATGATAGGCACTATAACTATGCCCATACAGTTTCATAGCTTGAGCTATCGACTTGCCCTTATATTTATTCAAAGTATTTACACCCCCCGGATGGTCCCTCATAAACTTTTTCAAGTCGTATTCATTGCCAGCGAATTTCACTGGGAACGCCATGACTGCCCCGTGAACTGGTGCGTCGTAGACTGAACTACGTTTACGTTACGTTTCAGTGTGCACGTAGCGCCTATGCGATAAACCGACCAATTTAAAAATAATAGTTTTCTAACGCTATTTGTATGGAAGCGATGTATTATCTAAATAGTCGAGTAACCGAGTTACGCATGGCGTAAAACTTGTTGGATTTTGTTGTGTAAACAAACTGTGTCTACCAATTATTATTTAACTCAACTCTCAGGATTTAAAATTCTTAAAATGAAAACAAGTCAGCATCAATTTGAATTGCAACTAACTTTTATGGAGGAGTAAATACTTACCTAAACAAGTTATTAATTATTTACAATATTGAATGCGAGTTGTTGAAGTAAACTTGTGATATACTATGTGTTTTTGTTTTATTATTGCTAGACATGGAGATCTTAGTAAGCCAATAATCAATGCAAGAGGTAGAATCGTGACCATCCAGTATTGGAAGGAGCTTACATCACTGCTTAACACTGAATGGCAGTGGCGATACAAAAACCACAGAGAAGTGGAAAATGCTCCGAATAATGAATGTAAGTTGTTTGATAAAGGTAGATATTATCATTTTATAAATAAATAGGAGAGGATGGGTGTGAATATATATTTATTTTTTTAGGTATTGAGACATGGAATGAGCCTGGACCTTCTAGCAAAGTGCATATAGAGCCTCCTTTAAGCCAGCTCCTAGCCAAGCCTTCAATGTAGATATTGAAATCATAGAAAGTATGTTCCTTGACACATATATTGTACTTAATCTAAATCATAAAGTGAAAATATCCAGAGAATATTGCATGTAGAAATAAAAAAATATTTATTTGACAATATAAGCAGTGTTAGCTTGCTGACTTAAAAACAAATATTTTCTATTGTCAGATGCTGAAGAAGTCTTACCCATTTTATCTGAGTCTCAAGTTGACAAAAACAAACGCTGACACAAACGGAGCAGGCTGCATGTCAGTTTGTATTGAATGGAGAGCATTCAAAATGCAGCAACATAAGAGATCATATAGAGATGAAAAGGGAGCAAAATAGGATAAGAGAAATGGAAGTGCAGACTCAGAGGGAATGGCAAGCTTTAGGTTTAAGAACATTATATATATTAGATTAACTAGCTAATAAGTTTTGTAATGATTAAATTTGTAAATTAGATAATAACTAGCGGCTCACCCTCGCTTCGCTCGGGTTCGTCGCTAGGTACGTTTTAAATAGATATAAAAAGAAAAAATCTTTCTTTCTCACATTTTAATTATATGTTTTAATACTTACCTATTCCGGACTAAGAGAAATCCAAAAATTAAAATATCATAAAAATTGGAACGCGGTCGAACGGGATAAAAAGTATCCTATGTCCTTCTCCTGGCTCTAAACTACCTCCCTGCCAATTTTCAGCTAAATCGGTTCAGCCGTTCTTGAGTTATAAGCGAAGTAACTAACACGACTTTCTTTTATATATATAGATTATTTATTATTTTTTGTTATGATTAGATTATTTATTTAATAAGTATGACAAACTATTAAGATAAAAAAATAAAGATTAAAATGTTTCAGATTATTTTGTTTACCTCTTTTTCATTTAACATCCAGTTTATATACATACTAATCATACATAGATATATATGATACAATATTTTTTGTGGTAAATTACAATAGATTAACTGCCACCAAATATTAAAATAAACTCATATGATAGAAGATAATAACACTACTTTATAAGGTTTTTTACCCATAGATGAAACTAATGTGAATCGGTAGAATAATGAACCCTTAGATACTGAAGTGGAAAAAAAATAGACTTCCAAGTTTTTTTATATATTTACTATACTGGTTTTCAACAAAAAAAATTATGTGACCCACAAAAAGTCAAAAATGACACAGATTTCTCCTTCTTTTATACTAATTAGCGTCCAGTTTCTCTTAATGTAGACCAGCAGTAATGGGATATCATATTTTGTCCTAAAAACCTCGGTACATCTCTTCATAAGTCTTGATGAAAATGTTCACCATGTTCATCACTTATGCTTTCCAGGTTCTCAGGAAAAAAATTCAGGTGCAAATGTAAAACAAGATTTTTTAAGGACATGTTCACTCCCTGTGGTAATTCCTAAAAACATTAGAAACAATTGCTTCATAATCCTTTGATTTATTGTTGGTAGGCAACAGCTTAAAATGAATACCAAGCATCTTTTTCGACACTGGATAAGTGACAATCAACATTTTCATTTTTAATATCTTTCTTATTTGGGGCCCCACAAACAATCCTTCTTTCACTTTAGCAGCAGAAAGATTTGGAAAAATGGATTTTAAATACTTAAAAGAACACAGGTCTTAACTTAGGTCCATCTTTGTTGTGCTTTGATAAAAATGTTCATTAATCTGATATGAATCACATGCAAGTGTTTTCTTTTTCCTGCAGCTCAGTTCAATAATATACTATAATTTTCACATACTGCTCTAAGAAACCATTTTATTATCAAGATATGTTACAGAGTTTTGAAAGTATTGAAAATAGGCTTGTTTTACGTGTTTACTGATTGGTCTTTTCTTTTTTGGCAAGATAATTTGAGAACAACCATGGCAAAAAAGTGGCGTAAATCTAGGAAAGTATTAAGAAAGAACCATGGCAAAAGTTGAGCACTGTCTTGAGGATATTTTAAAACAACTCAAAATACTTGAATAATAGAAAAACACAACAATAGCGAATAATAACCCAGACACGGGTAACATTAAGATAGACAAATAACTTAATGATGTATTAAAAAAACTTGATGTGATAAAAATATGAGACATATATTTTAGTAGTAAGAGAGTAGGTAGGAAACACATTCAGTATGAATAATTATCTTTGGGTAAAAGAAAAAAACTTTTTTTGTAAAGTAGTGTAATTATTGCTGCTGTAATCTTCTTATTAATTGATCCCTTAATACTGCCTCTAAATAAATCAGTGGTGGAACTTCTCTCTCTCTCTCTCTCAGTGGTAATCCTCTCGTCATGATCTTGGATGTTATAATGTTTCAAAGCTGAAAATTAATTAATTAATTTTAACAAAACATATTTAAACAAAATTATAGTAAAATCTTTATTATTAGAATAAATAGTCAATTGTATGAAAGCATAAGAACCTTTGACTAATTGCTTGTCTAGCATTTAGAGCGTCAGGAATATGAATATATTTATTTAACATATTCTTATAATATATTAATACTGTGGTTACTTCTTCAATATAAACACTGCACATTTTTTGGGATATAGGTATTCTTTGCAACCCCAACTGGCCGCTGATAAGATCCCGTTGCAAACAAAGATAGTGCAGTGAGTACCTAGAATAATAACAATTAATAAAAAAATACACGAAGGATGCATGTTTATGTTCACAAATTGTTTTAAATAATTTTACCTTTGCTTCCAAGGTAACCCGTTGAGTAGATTTCAAATTAGTTAATTGTCTTAGTTCTTTGCACAAGCCTTTAAATGCTACTGCCATTTTTTACTCCAATTAAAACAACACAACACCCACACAATATTATGAATTTCGTAAAAATATGTTCGTATTATAATTAGCGATTTCACTCTCACTAACAAAATCTAAGTGACAAGTTAACTTGCTCGCAAGTGAGGAAGTTTACAATTGAACTGTCAAAAGTGACATAAATTGCAACTCACACTCGCAAAAACGCCATTCCAGCGCGTTTAATTCCTCACTTCGACAAAGTTAGTCGACGGTCGCGATCATAAAGTTAACAATCAAACTCGCACTCACAAAATATGTTTTACATACTTTCCGCTAGGTGGCGCTGATCCAACTCCATACAAATTTGCGTTTACTTTAACGCGATCGAGTAGTCAAAAAAACTCACACTAAGCCCACAGTATTGATCTAGATCTTTTAAATTGAACGATTGACTCATACTTACTCGCAAGTGAGGAAGTTTAGTGTTTACAATCGAACTGTCAAAAGTGACATAAATTGCATCTCACACTCGCAAAAACGTCATTCGAGCGCGTTTAAATCCTCACTTCGACAAAGTTAGTCGACGGTCGCGATCGTAAAGTTAACAAACAATCTCGCACTCACAAAATATGTTTTACAAACTTTCCGCTAGGTGGCGCTGATCCAACTCCATACAAAATTGCGTTTACTTTAACGCTATCGAGATCGAGTAGTCAAAAAAATCTCACTAAGCCCTTAGCCCACAGACTTATTCACTTTACTTCGTGACAATGTATGTTCGATTTACGCCGTGGTTAGGTCATTCGATTTGTCACATGAAACTCACACTAAGCACGTATGATACGAGTGTACGAGCAAAATGGAAGCCGTTGGTTCAAGGCTGAAAGCCACTCGGGAATTATGGCAGAGCTTGGGCTTGAGAGTCGCGCTTCCTTATTATATATAACTTTAACATTTACATATTTTGTCAATTTATTTTTATTGCCAATCAAAAACATAATAGCAAGTGTAATTCAAGATTTTTCGGTCCTGAAAGTATAGGTACACGTCACTAGTAATAAAAACTGTATTATATAACATTTGTATAACTATTTCGCTGCCATAACCGTGTTCTTGATGAAAACTGTGTCAAGGTCAGCTTGAATTCTTATAGAAAATGCTTATCTTAAAAAAATTAGGGCCTCACATTGTGTAGGTCTACCTACTGTTGTGTATATGTGAGTGTGTGTGTGTAGTTGTGTGTATGTAAAATATAAATAGCAATTAGCAACATGTAATAGTCTTTCAAAAAAAAGTTTCTTAAAGTTTGAGAAGACACATTAGACTTATACACTATTGACTATATATAGGTACTATACAACATAAATTTTATAAATTCGACATAAATTTTACTTTATCTTCAATTTAATTATTTATAACCTTCCCTCAACTCCTCGATCCTCTTTCGTTAAAGTTATCGGGAAAACAGTAAGCTTCCGCGAACAGCCTTACAGAATGCAAAGGTATAACTAATAAAAGTAATAAC